TTCAATATGATTGATATATTTGCCAATGATCCTCGTACAACAACTTGAAGAAATATTATTACATACATTCTATACTACTATTAGCTACTATATTTTCACATTAGAAAAATACTAAAATATAAATTGAAAAAATCACTGCTCTTAGCATCGAACTCGAGGGTCTTGCCATCTGTTGGTACTAATCAATGAATCCCATCCTTTATTTACAATTAAGAATCATACCAGACGTCAACTATACATTCAAAACCATATATAAAAGATGAAATTTTTGACAATCATTCGTGTTCAGCTCAACACTCGACCTCTATCAAATACAAGGGCATTATCAATTCTCACAAAAAAGAAGGAGATTCTTCATGCTGTTCTCTGAGTTGTAAGTGACATGTTGCAGGACATTCATTGGCACATTCCAAGTGCGGCAGAGAAGGATTCGATCAACTGATATGTCGTATGTCACATTCAAATCATGATCCACTGGGGAAACAACAAGTGATTGCTGGAAATCCCACCAAGGTGGGCTCATTACCACCGTCGACTTAGGCCTAATCTTGGAGCAACTCCAAGCGTTCCCTCCGTTGCCTCCACGTTCAACGCACGCTCCCGCGTACACTTCTAATGAAACCCCAGACCTTAATTTGAGAGTTGACCAGCTAGCTTAGAGCATGAAGCAATTAAATTGAAAGTTACCTAATTAAATAGAGAATTGATTTGATTCCTACCACAATTCCCAATTAAATGAGGAGTTACCTAATCAAATTAGGAATTGATTTGATACCTACCACAATTAGGGATTTAATTTACCCTAATAAACCAAATCCCTAATTAATAAAATCAATTCCAAATAGGGGAGGAATAATTCCATTCCATCTATGGAATTATTCCTCTGAATAGCCTCCATGACCACTATAAAAAGATAGTCACACATAGGTTGAGGTACGTCTGAAATCTCTACTGAAACGCTGCAGAAAATTCCTCTCACAAACCCTAGCCACCTTCTCTCTCTCTCTCTCTCTCTCTCTTGTACATAAGGCTCCGGCCGCCCGATTGATACCATAAACACATCTCCGTACCCTAGTTAGCTAGTGTTTCTCTTACAAACTCTTGAACAAATTTAGGTATCGAAGGGCTTTTGGCCAACACCCCCCGGGTGTGGCCCTCTTATTGATTCTATTTTGCAGGGAGAAAGAGACGGCGGAGAAGGAAGGGGAATATTTCCGATAGAATATTCTCGTGGGGAAATTTGCTCCCACAAATTGGTGCTTTTATTGAGAACACGAGTTATACTCAATGCGTGCTCAAGAAATCCGTTTCTCCTATTTTTCGATCCATCAAA